TTGGAAAGTCCCATCGTCCGATGTCAAGGTGGAGGTTCCCGTGGCCACGGCTGGGCGCGGCTCGAAAAACCAGCAAGGATATACCCCAGGAGGGGTCCAAGGACCGATTTTGAGAGGAAGGTGTGAGATCGAGGTTTGGACTTCCAGGTCTGGGATTGGCGTCAACCCAGGCACCCCCTCTCTCCTCCGCCGTGTGGCATTGTCTTTGAGCCAGCTTGTCAGAGAGGTTTGTTCTGCACGTGAGCCCGAGAGTGAAGTCGGGCCTGTCCCTCTACAGGGGGAGAATTTATACATAGTAACCAATAGTCTGGGACGTTTTCTTTGATGTTTATGCATGAGTAAAACAAGAACTGTTTGGTTGTTATTTGACTGATTTACTTTTTCGTCCAGAATCCCCCTGTAGGAGGAAATGCCCGACCTAACCCGAGAGTGTAGACCCCGCGAGGCTCCGAGCGTGCTCGGGGTGGGGGGAGCAGGCCGAGCGAGGGGGGGACCCTTTCAATGAAGGTCAGAGGAGGAGGTCAGAGAAGGAGGAGGAGAGGAGGAGGAGGAGGGGAGGGGGGTGGAGGAGGGAGGAGGGAGGATGGGAGGATGGAGGGAGGAGGGAGGAGGAGGAGGTGGAGGAGATGGAGGTGGAGGAGGAGGAGGAGGAGGAGGAGGAGGAGGAGGGAGGAGGAAAAGAAGGAGGAGGACGAGGCAGAGAGGAGGAGGGGGAGGAGGAGGAGGAGGAGGAGGAGGAGGAGGAGGAGGAGGAGGAGGAGGGCAGGGGCCGCGCGGCGCGTCCCAGGAAAGGCTGGCCACTCCCCAGAGGCTTCTGGGAGGGCCGCTTGCCCAGAAGGAGGACCTTTCAGCATCGGAGGAGCACGAGGGCTAGTGCACGAGGAGCAAGTGCACGAGGGCAGATCGGAGAGCCTCTCCTTCTCCTCATCATCGTCCTCGTCACAGTCACCGTCATCATCATAATCATCATCATCATCATCATCATCATCATCAACATCATCATCATCATCAACATCATCATCATCGTCGTCGTCATCATCATCACAACCATCATCATCATCATCAGCAGCAGCAGCAGCATCGTCGTCGTCGTCCAGAGGCCACAAGAGGCCCCCAAGAAGCCCACAGGAAACTCCAAGAGGCTCACAGGAGGCACCCTTCAGTCGTCGTCGCCGCCGCGGTCGTCGTTCCACTTCAGGGTGAGCGGCACCGGCCGTAAGGCCTCCGCAAAATTTCGATTCACGTCAAGGATCGATCGAACCTCTGACGTAGAGATTCAGGGTTCGAGGCGCTCTGGCCTTGCTCATGGGACGACTCGGCCCTCCTCATGGGGCGGGTCCGCAGGGGCTGACTGGGCCCTCCTCGTGGCCACGACTGGGAACGGCGGCGACGGCGGCATCGGCGGCGGCGGCGACGGTGTTCCTCTTCCTCCTCCGCCTCTACCTCCTCCTCCTCAGCAATTCAGGAAACCAGGGTCTCCGCAAGTTTCAACCTTACTTGTATTTGTTCAAGGGTTTTACAGTTTTGATAGGTTCAGCACCCTTGCACTTCCAAGATGCTTAAAAGAGTTCGAAACTTTTGGAAATCCCTGGGCCCTGCATTCCCAGATCCGCAGGATCCCCCGACATGCAGGAATCCAGGGTGTCCAAAAGTGCCAAATATGTTACAATGCTCAAAAATTTTGCCAAAGTTTTAAGCACTCGTAAACTCTCCAAAATCTTGAAGGTTTTTTTTAACTTTTGAGAATCCCTGGGCCCTGGGCCCCCAGATTGAGGATGGCGAGGGGGGGAGAGGGGAAGGATGATGAGGAGGAGGAGGAGGACGAGAGGGCGGGGTCGACCGTGCTCTCCCCCCATGTCTGGTATGTGGTCGCCCGCTGACTTTTACAATCAACATCGGGAGCTGCGAGGCGCGCGCAGGAAGAGGAGGAGGAGGAGGAGGAAGAGAAGGAGGGAGGAGTGTCGTTCAAGCCCCGAAGATGGCATCCCATCATGCTCGCCCATTCCCCCCCCCCCCCTCCCCCCCATAATGTGACGCTCCCCCCCTCAGTGCGTCCCGGGCACTGCCGCAGTGCGTCCGCCACAGGGTTGGAGGTGGGGGGCGCGACTTTACGCCCCTCCCCGTCCCCCCCGCCCTCCCCGCCCCATAACGCCCGTTACAGTGGAGAGCCATGCCAAGAAACACCCTGCTTGCTTCCAGGGTGCCCTGGGTTTCGATGGTCTCGATGGTTTTTCCATGGGAAGCGTGACGTTCCCGCCTCAAAAATCAATGGACGTCCTGGGGTCCCAGCGCTGGGTTCCTTGTGGACGGTTTCTTGTGGACTGGCCTCCACTGTATGGCCACGAGAAAAAAGGCGCTCGTGCCCCCTGGGCTTAAAACGGGCGTGCCCCCTGCGCTCGTGCTCCCTGGCCACGATCTTCAAAAATTGTAGAAAAATATTCGGGGGATTATGTTTTGATCATTTTTGGAAAATGTTGGGGGCATCTTGTGAATATGTTTTATTTTTCGTCCCAACATCCGCCTGTAGGAAAACACGCCCGACCTAACATTCTGTCGGGCGTGTCCCCCTACAGGGGGATCTTCGACGACAAATAGAAAATACCCCCCAAATGCTCCAAAAACGGCAAAAAAATAATCAAAATATAATCCCCAGACTATTTTTGGATTATTTTTTGTGTATTTTTTATGTTTCGTCGAAAATCCCTCTGTAGGGGGACACGCCCGACCGAACCCTGGCTGCGCCCAGAGGCAGCGCGGCGGGCCGCCTCGGCGCCGGCCTCGTGGTGGGCGCCCTCTGCGCGGCGAGCCGGAGGCGCCCCGCCGGGGGCCGCGCCGGGCCCGGGGCCCGGCCGCCCAGGGTCGGTGCCGCCGCCTGGATGGAGGAGCCGCGGCGCTCAAGCAGGTGGCGACGCTCGGGGGCGGAAAAGAGGGGGGGTGATGACTAGGGGGGGGGGCGGATATCACGGCGTGGGCCATGATGTTTCCCCAGATTCCATGGCGCCTCCTCTTATTTCATCACGTCCCTGGCCCCCCCGCTGGGCCGCGCAAATGCCGCAGGTCATGATTTGCACCCTCCCCTCTTGGACACCCCCCTCTTGGCCGCTCCCGACGCCTGGATGGAGGAGCCGCGGCACTCCAGCAGGTGGCGAAGCGTCCTGGCTCGCCTATAAGCCTACCAAAACTATCTAAGAACCTGCTGTGGTTTGCACGAGATTCGGGCCGGACGAAAGGGGGGGGATTGGGAAAAGGGGGGGGTACGAAATCTGCTGCATGCAGCTGGTTTCGGCCCAACCGAGGGGCCCGTTCCTCGATACATAGCCGCCTCCGGCGCCGGGAGGCGCCGGGAAAATCAGCTACGTGAGCTGATTCTCAACCCCCCCTTTGCTATCCTCCCCTTTCGCCCGGCCCGAGCATGGTGGCGAAGCGTCCTGGCTCGCCTAGAGGCGTAGCAAGAACATCTAGGAACCTGCTGTGGTTTCCACACAATGTTCTTACAGCATTTCTGACTGGGACTGTCTTTTTTCAATATTAAACAAAAGAAAACGAGCTCATAGTCTGAGAGCATTGTTTTTGTTGTTCGAACACTATTGGGGTCTAGGAACATGTCGTGGTAGGCCTATGGGGATGCTGGGACGGTCGGTCCCTGCTCAAGGCACGATCTCAGAGGTCGAGTAGGGGATCGTCTACCGAGTTGTCATGGCGCCAGCATCGCAGAGCGGGCTTCGGTCGAAAACGATGGGATGGGCCCGGATTGTCCCAGAGAGTTGCGTTCTGGATTTCGCAGTGAATTTCGTGCGGAGTTGTTGCAATTATTTGTTGCCCGGAATGGGGACTAAAAACATCCACACGAAATGCACTCGGCTTTTCGCGCCGTTTCGGGGTTTTGGCAGAAATCCACGCGAAAATTCGGCGCAGCACGTCTGCAAGGTCGGTGCAGTGACACGATCTCAGAGGTCGAGTAGGGGATCGTCTACAGAATGGGTGTACCCAGCAGTTGAATCTCTCGTGGAGTCATACGTAGAGTGTTCGTAGATCTACGAAAATTTCACGCATGTCTCATGGATGCGACGAACAAATCGATTCTGGGGTAGATCAATTCTGTAGTCGATCCCCTACTCGAAGAGGAGGGCGAGGCTTTTCGCACAGTGGAAGCCCATGCTAGGAAACGCCCTGCTTGTCTCCAGGGTGCCCTTGGTTTCTTGGCTTGCGATGGTTTCGCGATGGAAAGCGTGACGTTCCCACACCAACAATCAATCGGCGCCCTGGGGTCTCAGGGTTGGGTTTCTTGTACTGTAGGTTCTCGACTGTCTTCCAGCCTCGGGGTGCTTTCCAACAGCTGCACCTCGCCGAGAGCGTTTTGGGAGTGCTTGGATCGTCCCGTTCGGCCGCCGGAAACCCCAGTTATGACCCGAAAACCACAGACGGGTGTCCGATCCTCACCTCATTGCGAGCTGAGACAATGGTAGCTGGCCTTCGGGGAGGCCCTCGTCCCCACGGCTTGACGCAGCTTGGGAAATTGGTGTGTTTGGACCCGGGAAGGGGTCCAGGACCGATTTTGCGTTGCCGTTGTCTCAACTCGCCCTGCTCCGACGGTCGGAATGGGCGGAATGGGTACAGAAAGAATGGGGCGAAGACCGAGAGCGGTTCCTGCCAGTTTTTGAGCAGGACTCGCTGCCGGTGTCGCCGCGGATTTGGCCCGTTTCGACACGAGAGGTCGCCTGCCCAACAGCGTCCGCGGTCGGCTTTGGACCACATGCGCGGTTGGACATCATAACCATTTTTACCCGTACCCAGTTTGGGCAGCCCAGATGGGTTCCCCGGGCAGATGGCGTCGAAGAAGCGCGCCGCATCGCCGATGCATTGGCGATGCGGCGCGATGCATCGGCCAGATCGGCTCCACGCCGACGTCGCCGATGCGTCGGCGATGCGCGATCCTCCGACCCGATCTCTGCCCGGGCCCCGTGCCTCCGGGATCGGCGGCGCGAGGATCTGAGGAGGCGATGTTTTGGGGCGTCGCAGGCCGTCTCGGCGCCTCGCCGTCCCCGCGGCCGGAGCCGTGCCGCAGGTCCTGCGAAGGCACCCGGGGACGGTTCCGAGGGGTCCGTCTGGAGCGGATCTGGGGGGGGGGCGCCTTCTTCCAGAGTGGACTGCACGCAAGTCGGGTTGACCCAAAAGGGGGTCCAGCGACAAGGGGGTGGTGCAATAGATTTATTGGGTTGCAATGTATTTGGGGCGTGCGTTACATTCCGGGCCGCAAATGTATTGCTCGATTTTCGTGTGCTATCTCTCTATATATATATATACATATATAGTACTTGCAATACAATGCGATACACATCTCCGGCGCCATACAATTGCCCAAGATCTATTGCACCACCCCCTTCAGCTGGACCCCCCTTTGGGTCACCCAAGGCAAGAACGAGCTTTCGCCGGAGTGACCTTTGGTGCGGGCCCAAATTGGTCACCCCCGATCGACGAGCGCGATGCGGTGATATAGCGTCTTGCGCGCTTGCGTTTGGCCTCCCCATGGGTGCACGGCCCCCCAACAGCCGCGCACCAAAGGTCACTCTTGCCCACGGGCCACTCTCGCGTGTAGTCGATGCTCGCAGCAGGCGGGGGAGGTGCCGCAGGAGGTCGGGGCCCTCCTCGAAGTGCCCGGAGGCTTCCGAGAGGAGCCCCCGCCTGCTCTCCGAGGAGGCCTCCCCTCGTGCCGGGCCACCCCCCTGCAGTGCGCCGCCGCCAGAGGAGGGCGAGCAGGGCGAGGTGAGGGCCAAGATGGACCAGATCGAGGCGGAGAAGGAGAAGCTGCTCGCGAAGATCGCGGCGTCGCGGGCGAGGCTCGAGGCCCTGGACGCCACGTCCGCCGCCTCGTCGCCGCAGGCTTTCAAGTCGGGCCTGTCGACTCCACAGGAGGAGCATGCAAGAATAGTCAAGCAATAGTCTTGGGACGATGTGTTGAATCTGTTTTGACTATTTTGGCGAATTTGTTCCAACTACTTTTCAATTCGTCCAACATCCGCCTGTAGGGGGACACGCCCGACCTAACCGCAGGCGCGGCTGGCGACGGCGCTGGCGGCGTCGCCCGCGGGGGCCAAGGTGGCGAGCGCGGGCAAGCCAGAGGAGGGCGACGAGGCCAGCTCGCGCCTGCGCATGGCGCTGCCCCTCGTGCCTCTGGGAGCGTTCCCACTGATCTCGGCCAAGGAGAGCGCCGACCGCTCGGCGGCGCTCCTGACGAGCACGCAGCCGCCTGGCGCTCTCCAGTACTCTGTGGCCGGCTGGTCACCGCCCATCGACTCCGCCGCCTACGACGCCATGACTCGGGAGTTCCCCAGGGCGCTGCCGGCGAAGGCTGTGTTCCAGCGGAGCCGCATGTTCCTGACGCAGAACTTCGGCATGACGCCTTCGAACACGATCTTGGGCACGAGCATATGTCCTGACGAGATCAACAACGGCAAGGGCGGCTTTGCCGACTTAGCCAACACGTACTGGGGCGAGTACTTCCCCCTCGGCGGCCTCGGCGGCCTACCGCTGGTCGGCAAGACCGGCTGGGGAGCGTTTTCGCATCACTGCCCAGACGATGGTAACATCTTCGTCATGTACGGCCCCCACGTTGGCATCTCCGAGGTCCTGTCGGGTGCTGGTGCTGTTCCTCTCGCCTCGTCCTCCTCTTCCTTGTACGAAGCAAGCGTTGAGCAACATCGTGCAAGCAAGCAAAACTTCCCCTGCCATCTCAGAGGTCGGTGGTATCGGCAAGTTCAACCGTGTCGGCCAGAACGACGCCTCCAGCGCCTGCGGGGCCTTCGTTGGCGCCTACAAGCAGACGATGAACTGGTCGGGTGAGCGCGAGAAGCTCGACGGCTCCGACATGGAGCAGCAGTTCATCCGCTCCGAGCTCGCCCCATTTACGAAGGGCATCTCATACATGACCAAAGAAAGCGATATCCGATTCCGGCAACATCCCGTGCTGGCCCGAGCCCGTCGGCACCCCATTGACTTCACACCCCCATACTGCCCGAAGCGAGCAGACTTCCGTGTCAGAGTGAGGGGGTAGGTTTGCACTATCCTTGGGTGCGTGGCTGAAGTGGGGCTCTGCAGCGCGGATTGTCGCCGTTCTTGGTCTTGCCGTCGCCCGCTCCGCGACCCACCCTCCTCCTCCTCCTCCTCCTCCTTCTCCTCCTCCTCCTCCACAATTACTCAATATGAGTACTATTCTCCTCCTTCCCCTGATGACGGGTTGGGAGTGTTCGCCCCCCCCGCGCATTTTTTTTTTACAAACGGGATTCCCTGGAGTTGGGTTTTCGCCTGCATGTGTTTCCAAAATGCTGCTCTCGCTGAGGCGCCGGCCTCATTTTCGGGCCCCGCTCGTTCCGAATCGTGCTCCCGCTGCAGCGCTGGCCCCATTTCCGTGCTTCCGCTCGTTCCGAATCGTGCTCCCGCTGCAGCGCTGGCCCCATTTCCGTGCTTCCGCTCGTTCCGAATCGTGCTCCCGCTGCAGCGCTGGCCTCATTTCCGCGCTTCCGCTCGTTCGGAATCGTGCTCCCGCTGCAGCGCTGGCGTCATTTCCCGTGCCATGCCACGGCATGCAATGCAATGCTAGGTTGCGTTCCGCTGCGCGATGCCATGCCTTCAGCTGAAGCTGTGATATGCAGTGCTTAAGTGCCACGTCGTGCTATGCCATGCTACGCTGTGATCTTCAACGCCATGCTATGCAATGTTATGTTCGGGGCCGGTGTGCGATGCCATGCTTTGCGCTGCAAAGCTTTGTGATGCTATTCTTCACTACGCCACGCCACGCCATGCTGCGACACACTACGCTTTGCGGTGCTCTTCTACGCCATGCCATGCCGTGCTCTACAATGCATCGCGTACCCTTTCGGGATCACTGCCTTGCTCGACATCCGACTGTACGAGTAGAGAGGGGATCTACGCCATGGTAAGGGATGGGAGGGAGGGGTAGGATGTCAGACATGACGCGAGCGCACCTAGCTTGTCCTCGTCCCCCTCCTCCTCCGCCTCCTCCCGCTCTGCCCCACAGCGCGGATTATCGTCGTCGCCCGCTCCGCGACCCACCCCGCGACCGTCGCCCGCGATCCGCCCGCGAATTGCCCCGCGACACGCCCGCGCCACGCCCCCCCAGCCTGTTGCAGGTCCCCGCGCCCGCGCCCGCGGGGGACTGAAGTCCTGCACTGGGCTTCGAACCTGGCAGCCCGCCGAGGGCCCGCCCCGCGACGCACTTCTCCTCCTCCTCCTCCTCCTTCTCCTCCCTCCTCCTCTTCCTCCTCCTCCTCCTCCTCCCTCCTCCCTCCTCCCTCCTCCCTCCTCCCTCCTTCTCTTCCCTCTTCCTCCTCCTCCTCCCTCTCCTCCTTCCCTACCTTCCTCCATCCTCCTCCTCCTCCCTCCTCCTCCCTCCTCCTCCTCCTCCTCCCTCCTCCCATCCTCCCTCTCTCATTCTCCTCCCTCCTCCCTACCTCCCTCTCCTCACTCCTCCTCCCTCCTCCCTCCTCCCCTCCTCCTCCCACCTCCTCCTCATCCTCCCTCCTCCCTCCTCCCTCCCCCCTCCCTCCTCCTCTCACCTACCTCCCTCCTCCTCCTCCCTCCTCCCTCCTCCACCTCCCTCCTACCTCCCTCCTTACTTACTCTCCCTCCTACCTCTTCCCTCCTCCCTCCTCCCTCCTCCCTCCCTCCCACGGCGTGCTGTAGAGATCCGCGCCTCCAGTGAGTCTCTTGAGGTGAGCTTTGCAGCTCCGCTGCCCCGGCAAGGCAGCCCAGCCGCCTCTACGCTCGCATCCGCGATTGCGGCGCTTAGGGCTCGTAGGCTTCGATAGCTTCCCCCCAGGAAAAATAAGCTTCGCATTGCTCTTCGATAACTTCCCAGAAAAAATAACTCCATCCCAATCCAACATTCCGAAAAGTATTTGATTGTTGGGGGGACCAAGATCCTTTCATTTCGACTTGTTCCATCCCGGGCCTCTTCCTGGCCACAAGGGGGCCAGGAACAATTGGAAACGGGCGCAATCAGAAATGAGCACGCTTAGAAATGAACGACGTGTATTTCCCTGAACTGAGCCAGAGCTGATCAGGAAGTCTGCCATGCCTGCCCAAGCTATGCACGCCCCATGGAAGCAACACCCTTGCCTGCCGAAGCCCAGGGAAGCCAAGTGCAGTAGGAGGCAACATCCAGTCAGCATCTCACACTTGTCCCAGCCAGGCAGAATCTGCGGGGGATGGAGGGGCCCGGATCTGGACCAGATCTGGATCTAGACCTGCGAGGGTTAGGGGCCAAGGGTCTAGGTCTAGATCTGCGGGCGCCAGGTCCAGAGGACTCGGGAGCCCACCGGTCTAGATCTCGTCGTGCGCGGGCGGAGCGGGGGCCCACAGGCCGAGATCTGGGCCCGCGGGGGGCTGCAAGGCATCTCCCAGACGGAAGACCCGATGTCGGCGCTGGCCTACAAGGCGTTCGACATCGTGGATAAGCAGATGGAGGGCATCTTGAGCATGGATTTCGGCCCTGGCAGACTGGTGCTCCTCGGTGGCATCCAGGTGAACACCCCGGTGGGCTTCCCGGACCACTTCCAGCCCATGAAGTTCGAGGTCCGCCAGCTCGGCAAGCCCAACAAGGACATCCTGTACAAGGCCTTCCTGCCCAGCATGAGCACCGACGTGGCCATGAAGGACTGGCAGGGCCCGGGGATGGCGCACGGACGGCCCCCAGGGGCGGTCCTGTTGGAGGCAGCTTGTCGGAGGTCGGCGGGGATTTCGTGGATCGGCGCTAGATTTCCAAGGCGGCGTCTCTGGCGCCGCTCCTGGCGCACTCAGTGCAGCTCCAAGTATGATCGTGCCTTGTGCACCGATCAAATGCCCCGACCAGAATAAGACTATCAAGCCGGACGATCAAAGCACGTTGATGCAGGTTGTTTGCCGGTATCGGGTGAACGTTTCGTCGTTTCAGGGACTCTTCTGAGCCAGATTGACTACCTGCGGTGTGTCTCCGAAAGGGTGTAAAGGGTTGCCCCAACACGTGCGCAGGAATTCAGGATGCAAAAACCTCCAGGCCCTGACCCTCTCTGCCTTAGCCTGGGCTTCTGGGCTTGGGGATGCCGTCTGCGCTCCGGGAGGGGGGGGGGTCTTTTTTTGGATGCCGGCTGCCCTCCCCAGGCACCAGGGTGGCCAGGGCGGCCTCGACGCCCCCCCCCCCCTACTCCCCCCCGTGGCGCGGAAAACGAGGGGGAGGAGGAAGACGACGAGGAGGAGAAGGAGCAGGCACAAGGAGCAGGAAGAGGAGGAAGAGGAGGAGGAGGAGGAGCAGGAGGAAGAGGAGGAAGAGGAGGAGGAGGAGGAGGAGGAGGAGGAGGAGGAGGGCACGGACTCGATTCGCCGGTCTCTCAGTTCGCTGGGGCTCGGTTCGCCGGGGCCGGAGTCTCGTTTCGCCGGAGTCTCGTTTCGCCGGAGTCTCGTTGCGCCGGGGCTCGTTTCGCCGGGGCCGGCTTCGCTGGGGACATGGAGGATCCAGAGTGGGAGAGGGGGGGGGCAGGCGGGCGGACCCTACAACGGGCGGGTCGGGTCGGGCGGGCGGACCCTACAACGGGCGGGTCGGGGCGGGTGGGGGGGGCATTCAAGTAGGACGCATCATCGAGATAGCACGCGCAAGGCCGAACGGGCGAGCCGTTTCGTGCTGGCGGACCCTAACGGGCGGGTCGGGTCGGGCGGGCGGGACGTTGACATTGTAGGACGCATCATCGAGATAGCACGCGCAAACCCTAACGCGCGGGTCGAGTGGGGCGGGCGGACCCCAACGACGGGTCGAACTGAGCCTGGGCGAATTGAGCAGGCGGTCCGAGCCACGGACGAGTCGAGCCGGGCGAATCGAGCCGAGCGAATCGAGCCCAGGCGAATCGAACCGGGCGAATCGCGATTCGGGCGAATCGAGCTGGGCAAATGTAGCTGGGGCGAATGGAGCCAGCCGAATCAAATTGGGAAAATCGAGACTCGGGCGAATCGAGCCCGACAAATCAAGCCTGGCGAATCTAGATTCAGGCGAATCGAGTCTGGGCGAATCGAGCTGGGCGAATCGAGCCCGGCGACTCCAGACTCGGGTGAATCGAGCCGGGCGAACGAGATTCGGGCGAGCGAATCGACCTGGGCGACTCGTGACTCGGCGAATCGAGCCAGGCGAATCGAGATTCGTCGAATCGAGACTCGGGCGAATCGTGCCGGGCGAATCGAGACTCGGGCGAATGGAGCCTACGCAGCGCGGAACGCCCAGGGATGCGCCGCAGGCACCAGGCGCTGATGGCGCCCTGGGCCACCCTCGGGAGGGGGGAGAGTTTTTTTAAAGCACCCCTGCTTCTTTGAAGGCGCGTGGGCTTTATCTATAGATGTCATGCCGGCGCCTTCGAAGAAGCAGCCTCCTTCTATGAAGCCCTCCCCCTCCTTCCACCCTCTTGTGCGCGCCGCGAAGAAGCGGCGGTCTGTCTTTGACGACGCCGGCTGCCCAGAATCGAGTTTCGACGAACAGCAAGGATCAGGAGCGAAAAGTAGGCACAGGCACAAAGAAGCGTCGATTCCAAAGAAAAAGTAAGAATATATAGGAAGTGTGGGGGGGGGAGACGACAATTCGGAACATGTGGAGAACCAATAGGACATGCATGGGAATCCTGGGATGTGTGTATTTATATGTGTGTCTCCCTTGGCACCAGTATAAAGGAGGAGGCGTGGAGGATCGTGGCTCCCACCCGCGGCGCCTTGCCGCCGTGTCTTGCCGCCCTTCTCGTCCAATCGCCGTGCGGGGCCACCGCCTTATGAGGGCCCAGAGGCTCAGGAGGGGAAAAGAACAGACACAATTTATCGTCGATTCCCGCGAAAATTTTGGATAATATGGCAATTGGGGGGAAGACGAAAATCCAACATATATGGACAAATATAGGGAGTCCTGTTATTTGTGTGTATTTATGTGTGTGTGTGTGTGTGTCCTTGGGCCCCTTCAGAGCCGTCGGACGGGGCCAGGAGGAGGAGAAATCCGTTCCAGAGTGTTCTGGACCGCTCTGGGGCGGTTCTGGAACGCTCCGAGAAGGCCGCGGCGCCCGATCAACCCTCCAGAGCCGCTAGATCTCGGAGATTCTCGAGAGTTCTGTTCACCCGAACCTGTCCCCGCGTCCCCGCCCTGGCTCCGGGGCCACAGAAGCCTGTATGTTGTAAACCAGGGCTCTGCGAACTCCAGCCGGAGGGGACGAAGAGCGGGGGTGTCGGGGCTCCAGACACTTGGGTCGATGCAGGCGGGGGTCCGTCAGAGCGCCAGATCTTGCTGGATCATGCAGAGCCAGGCTTGGGCGCAGGATCCTGCAGGAGTCTGCAGGGTCCTGCAAGGCCCGGGTCTGGATGGCCCCGGGTCAGCAGATCTCCGAGGTTGATGTCTCGCACCCGCCCACGGCTGCAGCATTTTTGGCTGCGCCAGCGTCTTGGTCCACAGTCGAGACTGATTAGTAGGTCGACCCTGCCAGATCGAGGGTAGCCTTTGTGCCCTGAGCTTCGCGACCCGTGCGCCCGCCTTCTGCATTTCTACGGCCATGTGGCCCTGGGAAGGGCCTGGTGTCCTCTCGCGTGCCCTCTCCAATCAGCCCAAGCCTGAGCCAATGTCCGCGCAATTGATGGGCCCAGACTGCCTGTATGCGCGACCCCGGGGCCCCGGAGCCCCGCCACTGAGGACATCATGGACCCCAAGTAGTTAGTGAGGCGCTTCCCGCGCGCGCGGTCCCTTCCGGCAGGCTCTGTCGTTTTTCGGGACCCGCTCGGCGGAGAGGGTGGCGCCCACACCTGGCGAGGCGCTCGCGGCACGCCGGGCGGACGGCGAGAATGCCTGGGATCATCCGGGCGTTGCTAAGGGTGGCCTTGGTCCAGGGTGATCCGACCTTGTCCAGGGAGGCCCAGGTGCCCCCCAGGCGAATATGAAAAGTTTACATAAACGTAGACTTTCGGAGGTCCGCGCGGGTTTCTTGGATCTGCGCTGGCCCCCCCTGACGGCGCCTCCAGCGCCGTCCCTGGCGCGCTCCGCGCGCCAGGGAGCAGGGGGACAGCGCAGAGCCAAGAAATCCGCGCAGACTTTCGAAAGTTTCTGTTCATGCAGCTGTTCCTTCCAGGTCGAGAGCACCCCTCAAGACCCAGTGGGCAGGGGCTCCGAAATGGCGCGACAAGTTGCGAGCACCTTGGGCCAAAACTACTCTGGGGCATCATCCTCCGCCCCATCCAGGGCCCCCCAGCACGAGCAGCGGCAGCCGACGGCGCGAGTTGCGCAGCAATTTTCGACGATGGTCTGAGGCTTCGAGGCCAGAATTCGTGGACGGTGGCGTCAGGGTGGGAGCATGGTCGTCGCCGTCGTCTGGCCAGAGGGATCTTGAAGAGCCCGTGGCTTTTTTTCCAATACCATTGCGTGCGAGCATACCCATGCCGCGCTCCCTCGCGATGCCTATTTTAGCGAGCGTGTTTCTCCTTCAGCTGAACCGCCCGCCGACTGTAGATTCAGGAATGCCCGCGGCTGGAGGAGCTCATCCTGCTCTCCCACTTTCCTGATCATACTCTTCCTCGTCATCATTGGTTATTCTCCCTCCTCTTAAATCCCCCTTCTCATCCTCCTCTTCATCCGCCCCCTCCTCCATCCCATCCGTATCCATCTCCCAGATGCTCCATGTCTCCCATCATACAATATGCCTACCCTTCCCTCCTCACCCTACATCCAAGAGCACGATCGCACCACCCACACCGCCCTTAGACCCCACTAACTCCCCCTGGGTTCTTATCCTTCTCCTTCTCCTCCTCCTCGTCCGCCTCATTAGCATCATCAGCATCCTCAGCAACATCATCATCATCATCATCATCATCATCATCATCAACATCATCATCATCATCATCAGCATCGTCACCCTCCTCCTCCTCCTCCTCATTATCATCATCATCATCATCATCATCATCATCATCGTCATCGTCATCATCGGCATCATCATCATCATCATCATCATCATCATCATCATCATCATCGTCATCGTCATCGTCATCGTCATCGTCATCATCATCGTCACCGTTGTCATCAGCAGCTGCAGCACCTTCACATCAGTCTCCACATTCTCCCCACCTCCTGCCATTGCCGACATCATCTTACCATCATCGTGCGCATGATAGTTTTCTGCTTGGTGTTTTGTTCCTCCTCCTGCTCCTCCTCCCCTCCTCTGTTTCTTTCTTCTCAGGCCTCGTTCATCATCCTTCCTTCCTCCTCGTCGTCAGCCTCCCGCGGTCCCTTGTTCCTCCTTTCCCCCTCCTCCGAAATCTTTCGAAAGCCACCAACCGCAACACACATGCAATAATAATATCACAAGCTAATACTAATACCTTTACGACCACCCTTCGGGTGATACGGAGGTTGTGGGGGGGGGGACAGAGAGGGGGGGGGGGCACCAACATCTCACTCAATCGATCTCACCATCGATCTCACTCAACGGGACACCACGGGACACTTGTCGATCCCAGTATCGATATCATTATCGATTTCACTCAACGGGACACCACGGGACACCGCGGGACGCTTCTCGATCTCATTATCGGTCCCATTATCGATCTTATTATCGAACTCACCCAGCGGGACACCATAGGACACCACGGGACACCTCGGGACACCATATCGAACGCACTATCGATCCCGTTCAACGGGACACCACGGGATTCCACGGGACACCTGTCGATCTCATTATCGATCTCATTACCGATCTCATTTTTGGGACACCTCGGGACACCACATCGATGTCACGATCGATCTTACTATCGATCTCACTATCGATCTCATTCAACGGGACACTACGGGACACTGCTAGGGCCACCGCTGGACGGACGGACGGAGGAGAAACATTTGTCTTGATTTCTCCCTAGCAGCGGCGGGTTCATTCCTCTCGCGCGCCCACGCAGCGCCGCCTCGCCCGCACGCACGACATGAACGAAACGAAACGGTTTCCCGTTTCGCGGTCTCCGTTCCATTGCGATCTCACCCCTCAGTTTCCGATCAAAACTAAGATAGTGTTTATCATACGGGTAATCGCAGTAATCACGACACCACGCATACTAGTAGTATTCGTAGTAATAAAGCACGAGTAGTGTTAGTAATATTACGACGAGGCATACTAAGATCAATATTGCTACCGTCTTCGCGTTTCTTCTATGCGCTTCCGATTTCAACGGCTCTCTTCCTCCTCCCCATCATCCTCCGCCCCATCCGTTATCCTCCTTTCTCCTCATCGTCACCAGGATCCTCATCATTATCACCATATGTTCACCATCATCACACTCACCATCGTCGTCAGCAGCATCATTATCAGTATCGACCTTATCATCATCATCATCATCATCATCATCATCAGCATCATCATCAGCATCATCATCACCATCATCACCGACATCATCATCATCATCATCACCAGCATCATCATCATCAGCAGCAGCTGCATCATCATCATCATCATCATCATCATCATCATCATCATCATCATCATCATCCGCATCATCACCATCATCATCGTCCTGCTCCTCTTGTGGTACTCCCCCTCTTCCTCCTCACTATCTCCACCCCATGCCTCCTAATCCGCCTCTCCCTCCTCCTCTTCATTCCTCCTCGTCATCTTCATCCATCCGTCCTCCCTTCGGCCTGTCCTCCTTCAAATCCTCTTCTTCTTCCTCATCACCATCCTAGTCTTCCTCCAGTGCTCCCCCACCCCCCCTCTCCTCCATCACATTCTTCCCATACTCTCTCCAGTCATCCCCCCTTCTCTGACTCCTTCTCCCTCCTCCCTCATCGTCCCTCTCCCATACGACTAACTACCCGATGTCGCACCACCAGACGTGCTCGTAGGCTGGGCCGCAATCCTTCAAAAACCCATGGGGAATCAATGATGTGTGCCTCTTCGGGCCCTCCTGGAGGACCTCTTGGAGGCCTCTTGGGCCGTCTTGGGCGCCTCGTGGGGGCCTCTCGGGCCGTCGTGGGGGCCATATTGAGGCATCGGATGGCTATCGAAAGGTAACGAGCGACGATGCGCAACTCATTGGTTTTCGATCGGTTGTTGAAGGATTTTGGCTTCTTGAAGGCCTCCTTGGGAGTCTCGGAGGCCATCTTTGAGCCTTATTGGGCCACTTGGGGCGCCTTGGGGGCCACCTTGAGGAACCGCAGGCTATCTTGAGCCGTCTTGGAGGTCACCTTTGGCTCTCTGAGCCACACTTGGGACCGCCTTGGGCCATCTTAGACGCTCCAACGCCTCGCCGCCCCCCTCCCCGTCCAGGTCCAGGGGAGGGGGCAAGGGGGTGGGGTCAAGACACCCCCTAGACAGCAAGCCGTCTAGCTCACTCCCACCCGCCCTCCCAACACATAAGTAACACCCGAGCCTCAGCATGTTCAGCGGTCGTCGTTGGATGGGCAGCTATTGGGAACCAACACCGACCATAAGTGCGCGACGCTGGGGCGAGGCGCGCCACGCGTGCCAGGCACGACACGCGCGCCAGGCACCCCCGGGCCCGAGCGTGCCAGGCACGCCTGGTGCGTCAGATGCGCCACGTGCCCCGCGTGCGCCAAGTGTGCCGCATACTCCAGCCGCGTTAGGTGCGCCACGTTCGGGGCACGCGCAGAGTGTGCCAGGTGCGCCTGCGCGCGTGACAGCACACATCAAGAAACATGTCGGCACCCACCATCCGTGTCGAACAGCAGTGCCCATCATTGTTTCTGGTGGGCCTGCGCACATCAGGCAATACGCCACAACCCCCGCCGTCCCTGTCAAAAACCACTGGGCAGGGATCGCGGGGTGGCCGCGCATGATCCAGATTTCGCCGCGACGTGCATTTTGCATTTACCAACCATCCTGTGGTGTTGGGTCCTCGCTGTGGAAGGACGGCCCCTCGCGTTCTCCTCCTCCCGCATCGTTCCTCCCCCTCCTCCCTCCTCGCCCTCCTCGCCGCTGCCTTCCGGATGTATGTGTTTCGGCACACCCAGTACAGCGCTTCGTGGCCCCATATGGGAGCTCCACCGAAGGCTTCAGTGCCAGGGCCCGCATGCCGCCACCTCGCCACGTCGGCACACCCCTTACACGCTTCGTGGCCCCATGGGGAGCTCCACCGAAGGACCCAGTGCCAGGGTCCGCACACCGCCACCTCGTCATCTCAGAACACCCCTCACACGTTGCGTAGCCCCATCGGGAGCTCCACCGAAGGCCCCATTGCCAGGGCCCACATGCCGCTCACACGTCTCGTAGCCCCGTACGCCGCTCCACCGAAGGCCTCAGTGGCAGGGCCTGCATGCCGCCACCTCGCAATTTCAGCACACCCCTCACACGTTTCGTAGCCCCATAGGGGGTTCCACTGAAGGCCCCAGTGACAAGGCCCGCAGGCCGTTCCGGCACACCCCTTACACGCTTCGTAGCCCCATAGGGAGCTCCACATAAGGTCCCAGTGACAAGGCCCGCATGCCGCCACCCCGCCATTTCGGCACACCATGCACACGATTCGCAGCCCCATATGGGAGCTCCACCGAAGGCCCAAGGGCCAGGGCCCTCAAGCCGCCACCTCGCCATGTCGGCACACCCCTCACATGTTTTCGTAGCCCTGCAGGAAACTTCACCGAAGGCCCCAGTGCCAGGGCCCGCATGCCGCCACCTCGCAATTTCGGCACACCCGTCACATGTTTCGCGGCCCCATAGGGAGCTCCACC